GTTAGACAAATCACAACAACAGCAGCAACAGCAACATGTTGCTGCCGTGCGTAAGCTTTTGTCTCGCCCTCCGATATAAATCGCCGAGGAGCTGCTTTTTGATTTAACAAATTAATAACGAGGCCCGGTAGCCGCCTTATTGATGATGCCACATCACAAGGCATATTCGCATTGCCATATGAACGTGTATATATAGTATATATCATATATATGTATATATGTGTATGTCGCGTTCCTGGAAATCGCGGCTGACAAATGACAGGCCCAGGCTTCTCGGCAGCAAAGACTTCCGGCCCAGTTCGCCAGAAGCAGGCGGCGAGCTTTAAAGGCAGTCGCCATCTTGGCCAGATTGATGCAACAGGGTAACAGAGTAACAGGCAACATGGCAACGGCAACTACGATGGCAATGGCAATGGCAACATAGCAACATCAGGCGACATTGTTAGTGATTGAAGGACAGCTGTTCACACTAGGAGAACTAGCCGAAGTCCGGCGAACGTCAAATTAGAATGCGAAACGTGTTGCCAATGGGAATGTTGCTGCTGCAGTTGCTAGTGTTGCTGCTGTTGTTGCTGTTGCTGCTGCATCGGACAATGGACAATGTGGCGGCACCTTTGGCTCTGCGGCATGCAAAGCAGCAAGAGCAATAGCAACAGCAACAACAACAGCAAAAGCAACAGCAACAACTGTTGCTGGAGTGCAAATTAATTGAAGCATCGCAAGGCAATGTCAACGACAGCAACATCACGTGTTGCATGTGGCATTTTGGCGTAGGCTGGGCTCTGCTTGCCCCAGCACATTCTTATAATTATGTCATTTAATTAAGCAAAGACAGTTTGCTGTGCCACGACTAATTAAAACATCGCGCCAGCAGCAGCAGCACAGCAGTATTGCAGCACAGCAGCAACATCTACAGATGAGCAGCAGCAACATGTGCGGTGGAATGAATGACCGGCCACTGTCAATGCAACGAGCGATGTGGCACAAAAGAGCGCTTCAACTTTGCCGCTCAATGGATCGTACGATGCAAGGAATGCTTCCCGGAATTTGGGTCATAATTAATGTGGCATGATTTGGCAAGACACTTTAATCAAGGCGAGTTGAGTGGCCAGCGAGCGAGCAAGTGGGCAAGGGCGTTGCGAGTAGGGAATAGGGAATAGAGCCACCCAAAAGCAGCACATCAATCATACGCAGCGGTGGCCCAGCTGTTCAATTGCAATACCATAACTCACTTTTATAGGCCATCCACTCGCACACAATTCGCTGAAAAGTTGCGCACCGGGATTAAGATTTGCCGCCGAGATTCTGGCCAGGCACGCTATACGATATACGCTGTATGCTATATGCTATATGGCACATATATCCCATAAGCCTCGTGGTTGCAGTCGGTAAATTACAACAACTATTACGGCCCAGCCCAACCGAAAGCCATGGCTGTTTCTCGGAAAACTCGGCTTGTGCGCTTTCGGGCCTGGCCACATGAAAATTTATGAGTGGCCAGCGCTTCAAGTGCAACACCTGGTAGCAAGGTAGCTAGGCTAGCTTGTTCCGAATCGAGTCGAGTCGAGCGGAGTCGACTCTGCGACTTGCAGAAAGGAACAAAGGCCGCACTCAATGGGCCCGCATCGCATTTGATATCCTTTGTAGGGACAGCCCACTGTGCGTGACATTTGCGTTAAGTGGCTGTGGGAACTTTGGGCCGAAAAAAATTATGAACAAAACAGAAGCCGCACAAACGGGCGGGCAGCAGCAAAAAGCAGCAAAAAGTTTTCATTTGCCCGATTTTGCCCACACGATAAGCCAAAAAAAGTTGCCAACAACAAATGAAAATGCACGACACACACAAATATTGTCAAAAACTTGGACCGCAGCTATCGCTATCTCTATCGGGGCATCTATATCTCTCGCTCCCTCTCTCTCTCGCATTTCGGAGTGCGAGTGCAATAGCTATATTTTGGGGCAGTTCGAATTGCAGGCAAAATATTCAAACGCTCGACTGGGGTAATTAAAAATAAATTTTATGCTCGAGCTTTAACAGCCGTCGGATTCGAGAGACAGCAAAAAACTAAAAGACATCAAATGACATATCGAATTTTAGATGCCCTAATTTCGAGTCATAACTTGAAGGATATATTAAATAACCCAAAATCTACTTCCACACTTTTTCAACATTCAAATTGCAGGTGTTTTCTCTGAGGCAATTTATTTTCTTTCATCTCCAAAACATTTATTTAACAAATGGCGTTTAACTGGTAGTTAAACAAAGATAATCTAAATGGCTTTTCACATAAAATAAATTTAAAATTCCTCAAATAACTTTAAATAAATAAACAAAGCCCGGGTCGCAAACTGTTTTATATTATTAACCAAATTCCTTTATTTGTTCATCACCCATTACCCCTTTGTCCCCAGAGTATAATCATGGCTAAGACAAATAGTGAAATACCAAAACAAAAAAGAGACCAAAACAACTGTTTTTGTGTGTGTCTGTTTTTCATCGAAAATGTTTGTGAAAAAAGCGAGTCAAGATGAAAAAATGTAGAAAAATAAAACAAAAGCCCAGATAAACATACAAGCTCACACACACACACACTTTTACACACACAAACTCAAGTCACGGGGCAGACAAAAGTTATTGCCAAAATTTTCGGCATGTTTGCTTTTGAAATTTAAATTTCACATTTGTTGTCGTTGGTTTTTATGGCCTGGGCCATCATAAAAATTTCCGAGCTGGCATGCGAGCTCCGAGACTTGTGCTGCTGTGCTTTTGGCCTGGCCATTAAACTGCATTGGCTGGCCTGAGTTGGTCTAAGCCGAAAAGTGATGCCGCCCTAGTTGCTTAATTTGCCACTAATGACAGCGAGTAAGTCGGCCCGCTCATAATTGACAACTAAATTGGCCGGCTGACAGGGGGCTTGGCCGCCCCCTCGTTTTGGGCCGACTTGTCCCGAGATGTGACATATGCAGACTAATGAATTTTAAAATCAACGCTCGCCACAGGTGCCCGCTGCCACTCGTTTCGTTATGGATGCGAATGCCAATCCATTCGAACCCAATCCCCGATCCCATGCAATCCACTGCCATACACTCCGCTCCCCAGACAAACTGTCTGTCAAACGATTTGAATCCCCATCCGCAGCCGAGTCCCCAGAATCCGACTGAATCGCGAGTCGAGAGTCGACCGCATGAATGAATTACGGCGGCAACTGGGGGATCGCTGGATGGATCAAATCAAGCATCAATAAAGTCGGCATATGAATAACATGAATTAAACATAAATGCAAAGGATCGCAGCCTGATCGATCACTTTGCAGTTGCAGCCTCACTTAGCCAGACATTCCAGGGGCACACATCACCATCACATAGCACACACAGATTTTAAATTAAAATTTCGCACACTCGAGGAGCAGGAAATAAATTCAGCGACCACGCCGCATTGATGCATGTCACGTTTGGGTGTTCGCTGCGTTTACGTGGAACTGTCAAAATGCAAGCCGAAATAAAACCGAAAAGTACAGAGAGACGCAAAGCCACCGCAGTTAAAGCCCGAAAGCTGCAACAACAATGGGCTCGGCCGGGCTAAGTGCCAAGTGAAAATGGTTTGGGGCATCAGCTGTCAAAACTGACAGCAGAGTCACAGTCGTCGCAGCCCAGAAAACTGAATACTGAAAACAGAAAACTGAACACTGAACACTGAACACTGAAAACGAAAAGCAGAAAGCAGAGCCAACGGTGGCTCAAATTGAAAATTAACTTAGCGGAACTGGAAATTTTTTGGAGGCGTGTGAACCTCGCACAAACACACAAACACCTGAGCTTCTTTGGCAAAAAAAAAAGAGAATATAATAATGTCGTCTGCTTGGCCTTTTTTTGGGGTCTACCGCCCTAATGAGCACAGATCATTTTCTTTCTGGCCTAGGAACAAATTTCAGACAATTAGGAGAAATGTAACTCAGTATTATACCATACACAACATTTAAGTTGAGAAATTCTCAGAAGGCAGGGAAAATGTTTAAATAGTACGCCCTAATAGAGTTATAAAATATGAGGGAAAGGGAATTAGTGCAACTTTCGTTTTGTTCTCTTGATGTTTAAATTGCTGAGATAGAAGGGAACTTTTGTTTCATTTTTTAGTTCATAAACATTCCAGTGAGTTGTAATGCTTTTAATGCCTTTTTAATCAATTGCTTTTTCTACTATAATGGAAAACTAGCTCCTTCCCTTGATTCACGCCTCCAAACAATTGTTTCAGTCCTTATCAAGGAACCCTAATTTCACGTCTAGGATACAATCTAGCTGCAGGACAACGGCGATTCCTATCGACCCATTCCCCAATTTCGATGGCGGCCAACAGGAAACGCTCACTCAGCAACACAAAAAAGGCGCGAAGCAATCGATTTGTGGGCGGTGGACGATGGGCGGTGGTGGGGCTATTACAACCACTCCGTGGAGCACCAACCAGAGCGGCGGCTATCAGCCAACCCCCGCCAAAATACATTCATTAAAAACGCATTAGAAATGACATTAGAACAAATGTCCAAGGGGTAACCGAAGCCAAAAAAATGGAAGAAATTACTTAAACATAGCATAAATCGAAATGGTAGTTAGGGTAGTTGGCGGTTCAGCCCTTCAAATGCTTCAAAATGTATTTGGAAAAATTCCATTAATCTTTAAACAGTTCAGTTGGTTTGTTTAACTAACTTTTAAAAGGTTTCCAGATAAAAACTTGTTTTAACAATATTTTTACCTAGGAAACTAAATCAGCATTTGAATATCGAAAAGCGTTATTGAATTTATGTATTTTTTATTTTAAAAGTGGGCATATATTTAAAGTTAAATTTTAAGTATGTTACAAAATGTTAGTTAAGTTCTAGAAATCCCAGTTTTTTTTGGCTTTCTTGATTTGGAATCACTTGAATTAGATAGGATAAGTCTCAAATGAACTGTTTAAGATCTTTATGGTTTCCTAGGCATCTTTAACTATACTACTGTTTACTTACTGTGCTGGTGGTAGCTGGGGTAGTAGCGGCGGTGGTGTCCGTTGCTCTCCAGCGCGTAGAAGGCGCTCATGTCGCTGGTGTCCAGTCCGGAGCCGCCGCCGCCGCCGAGGGCCGCGCCCACGCTGCTGCCCGCCGAGCTGGCTCCGCTCGAGAGGCTGTGGTGGCTGTGGGCCAGGCTGCTCCCAAGGCCGTTCGTCTGGGGCGAGACGCCGCCCCCGTTGCCGACGGAGGAGCTGCCACCCAAACGGGGACTGTCGTACCAGCTGCGCGCGGCAGCTTCCGCTGTTGAGGTCATATCCATTTCGAGTATAATTTTGAATGTTTTTTTGTGCTACCGGGTGGGGGCAAGAACGGGGATCCCAACGGGCTGTTCTCTACGTGGCGCGCTTCCTTCGGATTCCTTTCGGATCGCCTTAATAGCCACGCATTTTCCGAACACACCACAACAACTCTGGAAGTCAAGAAATTTCAACAACTTTAGCAACTGAAGTTGGGCCTCGTTGGTGTCTGCTGTCGATAAGATTTTAACGGTAGCCGGCGTTATCACTCACTCTCCCTTATCGCGAGCTTTACATTTTTGTTCAATTGTTTTTTATGGCTTTATGGGCGCGGTACAGTTATACAGCTATACAGGATAACCACGAGTTGATTTACGATTTGACTTTTGGATTCGTTAGTGCGTTATGCGTAGTGTGGGAAATGCCAAGACGGAAGGGAACCGAAATTCGACTCACTGCGAGTTTTCGCATTCATCGCTTGATTGATGGTCGAGATCCCGCCCAGGGGACCTAATAAACATGTAGTCCCAACAATTGCATTGTCAAAATGTTTACACACGCAGACAAAGGATCCCAAGGATTTCGTATCTGCGGGATGTCAGAAGAGACGGCGCCGCAGATACTCAAAGGGCAGGTGTGTTCCTAGGTGTTCTTAGGTGTTCTCTGGTGTGTGGGCCCAACTAGACGATTTAGGCGATTTAGGGTTTATCGGGGAGCTTGACTTGCCAATTGCCAATAGCCAACTGGCATCTGGCCGGGGATTCTTACAATCCAAAGGGGCATATAGTATCGCACAGACAACACTCCTATATTCCTATATTGATTTAGACAGGTAGCCGAATTTTTGGGGAATTTTGGGCTTATCAGCAATAGATAGCATATATGTTTGTACAGCGAGCTGTGTGCATTGCACTCGTTGATTTCTTTTCGAAGCGATTATTATCAACGGGAGTTCTTTTCCAACGACTACCTCTTCTATTTGCCCACTTTGTTTGCGTTTGGCTTCGAAAAATTAATAATACAACCGAAGTTGGACCCGAGTTTTTTTGGACTGTATCTTAAAGGTGCCCAGATGCCTATCGCTCAATTGACAATTGCGCTACGAAAGAAACGGCGATAAGGCAACATAATTTGTTACCTCCCGAAGGTGGAAGAAAAGCAAATAACCAGGGCCTTTTGAGTCGAAAACTCAATCAATTTATCTATCTATCGGCAGCAGAAGCAGCGATAAGTGAAGTGGAAAAAAAAGAGAAGCACACACTTTTCATTAAATGTCTTCTTGTTTTTGTTTTTCGGTCTCCGCGCGCTTTAGTTGATAGCAATAAATTGATAAGCGCAAGTGCCAGATTTTTCGAATGCTTGTGTCAGCGTTTTTTTGGTTGGACGCGCTGCTCCAAAGGCTGATCGCTCGATAAGGATAATGAATTTTCGGGGGCTAGCGTTAAAAACTTTTGATTTGGTTTTTATCGATCATTGATCCACACTTTGATCTTACAATTTATAGCACACTGTTTTGGTTGCACTTCTTGTGTTTACTGGGTTTTCTTTCTGGGGTTTTTAATTCTTGTATTTCTTGTATTTTTGGTACACTGAGCTCTGAGTTGCCGATTTTTGCCGACGCGTTATTCGAGCTTTCTTTGTTGTTGTCGCGGCGAGACGAATCGATAGCAAAACACGGAACGAGCGCTTGCAAACACGTCAACAGTTAAAATCGTACTAAACGAACACACGAAAGAAAAACAGGAAAGACTGGCGCTGCTTGCTCTCCAACCACTACATGCGCAGCGAAAAACCCGTTTCGACGAGGCCCAGCCTTCGTGCGAGTGTGAGTGTGCTGGCACATACAAGATGGTCGCGCTGTCAAGCACTGTCCCGGCGGAGAAAAGGAGACAGACGTATCTACATCTAGACAAGCAATATGCCCGTCACTCTTTCGCCTGGGCGAGAGGGGCGTGTTTTTTTGTGTGTGCAGGTAACCGGTTGTTGTTGCAATTGCATGTTCTTTGTTGTTTGTTTGCTCCGCTCGAGTGCATCGTTCAATAATCTCTCAGTGGCACGCCTCTCTGCACTTGACGCACACATATAGGCAGACAATCCAGCGTTTTGCTTGTCTGTTCGCTTCGCTCTCGGTTCTCCCCTCCCGCTCCAATGCCCACCCACTCCCTATCCCCATCCCTTTCCCACGCCCGCTGTCAAGCAGTGACAACAATCATCGATCGTTCCGTTTGCGATTATGTGCTTTATTTATGGGCCTTAACATGTGTGCAGATTTGTCTGGCGATTTTTGAGTTATATACGCCTGCTGCCTTGTGCGTGTGCGAGCGGGATGGCCACAGACTGGAGCTAAATTTGCATAAATTAGCAGCTGGAAATTAAGAGAAGTACGAACTGTGCTCCGCATCTACAGCGAACTGCGAAAGATAGTTGCCCGTATCTAGATGCAAATTATTAATATGGAGCTCATATATTTTCGCGGCAAGTTGGTTTCTTTGGGGTCGCGTTTGTATTGTACATCTGCTGCGCACAAACAGCTCACACAAACACACACACATGAAAGCGAATCCAGGAGGAAGTCTCTGATACAGTCTAACTTCCATAGCTCATATATTTTACAACCCGAATTTTTAACAAAAGATTTTAGCAATTGCAAATGAAGATAATGTTTTCTACGGACTAAACGGAAAAGAGGAACAATTTTTCAAATTCCAATATTATATATCTTGCCGTAAAGTTGCTTCTAAAGAAACTCCACTGTGCACTTCCCCCGCATTGATTTTCGCATTAAAAAGAAACTTTTTGGCGCCAAAGGGTTAATGGTGCTGCACCTGTGAACTGGCAAAAAGGATGCTATCCCGTGGGGTTAAGGGAGGGGAAGGGTTAAAGTGAGACAGCTGCAAGTTTGAAAGTTTCCCAGGCCGACTTAATTCCACATGAATATTTTTGAATATATTTTTTGTGATCGCCTTCCGAGGCATTTCATAAGTTCATATTGCCGCGATACGAATCTAACCAGATCTGGGCGAGCTTATGGCTAAAATAAACCGTTTGTCAAAGCCCCTCGGCTGACTACCTAAGCAGCAGTTTATGTATGTAAATACCGCGGCCACAGATAGCGCTGTTGATAGTTACAGATACATAATTTGAGATAAAGACACAACCCAAACCCGAGAGCGGCTGCCAAAATAAGAAACCTGTAACCGAAATCAGATCAACCAACGGTGCGAACACCAAACACGAGCGACGAACCACAGAACAACCGAAAACAACACAAAAAACACCGAAAGGCAAAGCAAACAACAAACACAAACACAAACAACAAACATTGGTGCTGGTGTCACTGACAGAACAACGCAAACAATCTGCCAGACAATCTACAGTGCAAAGGACACCGTAGCTAGGAAAATAAGCCGTCGCCGCTGGAAGATCTTCGATTAGATGGCATTGCATCTGGATCTGTATCCCCAGATTAACCGAACGCACTTGATCAATCGCACTTTAAACGGGGTAAAAAGTGTCAGCCTTTGGTTGATTATCAAACTAATCAGATTTCCGTGCCGATGCGCACATGTCACAAAATACTTTTGACCCATTTGGAAATCAATCACCAAATGGAACCGAGATAGAAATTTAGACACGTTAATCGGTACACCTGAACAATCTTGAAATTATAACCATCTTATCATTGGGAAAATTTCCCACAAGCCAAGGAACCGCAAATCTAAGTAACGATTCAAATTTTGGCCAATATAAACTACGATTTATATTTAGCGTGATATAAATCACCTGAGATCGCTCAGCAATTCGAGTTGTTTAGGACAAATGTGGAATGCCAAAGAAATCTCAATGGGTTTTCAGGCTTCGGCGATAAGATTTCCCCAGTCATGTCTACTTATGGGCCTCAAAATGGATGAATTGTCACGTCTGGCTGTCAACCACTGGAAACTCAACTGGTAATCGCCAGATGATAAGTACACATCAGCCCCAATTGGTTGAGGAAGTTGTAGCAGATACAGGTGGCACCTTTCGATAAGGATTTAGTTTTCGAATTGATGAGATACCGTTGAAGAGCGCAATAAGTGATATATGTTGCGAAATAAAAATACTTATTCTTATATTATCAAGAGTGTCATGAAATATGGTTTGTCTTGTACGTTTATATTGCGGAAAATAATTCCTGTGCCAAGGCTTCAGGGGAAAACAAATATAAATATAAACATAAATAAAGTCGGTGGTCCCGCATTTAAATTCTGAATGGCATGGGTATAAATTAAATTAAATTCCATACCGTTGATAAGCTTAAATTGTGTCACATAAAGATAGGTGGCTGAATAATTTGAATTTTTATTATGCGGTGGAGATAGTCTGAATGTGTATCAAGAAAATCAAACGGAATTGAAATAATCTTTGGGTAAAGGAATTAACCAGCTATTGATTGCTTTATTAATAACAAAAGTGATTGTGGAAATATTTGAAACTGCAATTTATTTAACTAACAACTTTCTTTGTGTCTGGAAATTTGTTGTTTTGCCTGTACATAAATAACTCCAACTACACCTTAGTGAGCACAAATAATATTGTGTGTACTATACCTTTGGTTTTTCCTTCTGATGCAGACTTTTCCAGCACGTGCGCAGCTTTTCCGGCTCCGTCAGACTTTGACGATGAAGCCTCCAGTTGAACGCCGTCAAGCAGACAGAAGGGGGTATATAGAAACAGGGGAACACATATATCGCATATACATATACGTGTATGTGGAGAGTCGACCAGACATGGCCAACGTCATGCCCGAGCCATAGACCATGTCTGCCCCCTCCCATGGAACCCCCCTTTCCGCCCAACCCCCCCTTTCCAGCTCTTAAAAGCCGACGCACGTTGCGTGTAATTCCGATTTTAATCGCACAAAAATGTTTTGTTTATATGTATAATTTAGTTTTAACAATTTACGTTAACCTTTTGTTACCATTTTTAATTTGCCCGGCGCTGAGGTTGTTAGGCCCGTATGTCTATTGCTGTGGTTTCGGCTATTTGCTGTTCGGGTTAGTTCATAAGCAGCAACAATTAAATGCTCCATAAAATCGGTTTAAATACGCGCTCTACTATATATGTGTGGATGATATACTCGTATATAGCGATGAATGCCTCGGTTTCGTATAGACAGTTATTATTGCTCAGCTCGGTTGTTGTTATAATTATTGTCATGCGATAGGAATCAGCGACATTTTTACAGCATTTAAACAAAGCATAAATTCTGATTTAGTTCCAAACTGTCGCCAGATTCTGAAAAAATAGTGCGCGTTTGTGTGTGTAGTTGAATGCATATTGCATAAACACACTAAAATAGAGCAGCAGTATCATCACAACAGTCCGAACCAGTATCAGTGGCAGACACACTTTTAGATACAATAAAAATTCTATTTAAATGGCCAGTTGTAATTATATAGCACTCGCCCCCCCTCAGTGGGAATTACTCCTCCCATTGTGCGAATTATTGAGGCCATAAATGTATTTCTGAGCACGGGTAGCCACAATTAACTGGAAAATGCTAACGAAGTTCGCACAGATTAATTAAAAGGCTAAGAATCATTTAGCTCAAGGCATGTGGTTTATTGATTTAACTTATTCCTAGAGCTGCAATAAAATGAATTTGTCTCAAAATCTATTTAGTACTTAAATATGTTGTATTTAAATTTGTGGTATGTTTAAAACCCTTTTAATGGTTATTCTTTTCGAATCCCTATCAATTTCCCCATTTATGTACGCTCATCTCCCTTGGCAATAATCGCCAAAACACATTTCCCTTTCCAGCTCGCTTTTCAGCCAGCAAGTCTTACAATACTGTTGATTTTGTTATAGGCTGAGTATATAATTTAATAACTATAACAACAAAGCGACAACATAACAGCAACAATGTCGGGACTCAGTTCATATGTCATGTGCCAGTTTTTCGACTGCAATGCAGCGCTCTCCCTGCGACCCTCCTTTGCCACTTTATAGACCCCTCTTTCAGCCCCCCAACCCCCTCACTCCACCCCTTTGGCCAATCCCGACCATGCGTTCTAATTTCATAATAAACTTGGCTGCCAGCAACGAACAACAGCAGCTAAAATTGGCTGGATGCAAAACCGCAACGGGTGTAAATTTCACGAGCCCCCCTTTGGGCCACCCCCCCTCCCTCCCTGGGTTCAAGCAACCCCCCTTAACCCCCTCCCCGCCTGTCAGCCAACTGCAGTACACCGCCAATGGCGGAACATCCTGTGCAGCTCGTAAGCACCTCATGCGCCAGGCTATAAATGTAAATTGCCTAAATGGGCAAAAGCTCGAGCATACGTTGGCCAGGACATGGATACGTTACGATGGCAAGGAGCAGGAGAAGGGGAGGGAGAGTGGCAGGGGGAGGGGGAGAGAGAAAGGACTGGGAGTCCCAGGGGCGGCGGTCAGCACTTGCATCGTAAATGAAATCAGTTGGTGCGCGAATCCTGCATGGGTCAATTATGCAAATGTCCTCCACTCGACTCCGCTGGTACATATATCTATGCCCGCTGGCCGACCGTGTGCATTTGTATCCCGGCCAGGACATTCGGCCGTGGCAGCTGCAGAACGAAAGTGATTTGTGGCCCGGCAGTGTAAATCTGTTTTCCTATTAAGTATTTTAGCGGCAAATTAAGTTGCGGCCCTACGAATTGAGTGCGATTCAATGCGAAATATAATGGAA